TATATATATATATATATTATTTAAAGAGTTTAATTTCTATTGTTTGCCCACTCAAGGTTTATAGGGATTTTAAGATGTATTTAGTTAAATTTCCTATTTAGTAATTAAGTTACTTTTCTGACACAGTAATTAGATAAGTATTTTAAATACAATATTGACTAAGTAATTAGTAATTAATTACTTTTTTAAAGTAACTTACCCAACACTGATGATCAGCCAGCCAGACATCTGGATGATTATATAAAATAAACAAAAAACTAAAGCAGACATGCGTTATCTTTATTATTATTTTACATTTTTCATTGTTAGGCATTAGGTTCATTGCCATTGAAATCCTTAAAAGAGTTTTAGTAGTCCTTGCCAACTTCTTTCTCTCCTCCATGTTACTGTGCCAGCTTGTCAGCATCTATTTGGGATTGGGAGTGCAACAGAAAGTAAGGAACTCCAAAGTACCATTAAAACCAGGAGAGGTTCTTATTTTTCAGAAGAAGGGATTATTTAAAAGAATTCAAAAGAAATGATCTCAATGTCATATGTGATTTAAGAACCCTAGAGAGTACTTTGCAAAATAACACGATTTGCACGCTTATAATTTCACATTCTGATGGGCCAAGCTATGACTGTCAGGGATGGTGATGTAGGTACAGAGCATGTGAGAGTGTGGTTAAGTAAATGTCTCTTCCAAAACTAGATGAAGGCACAAGGAGATCAATGGCAAGGCGTAGAGATTCAGAAATTCACCATCTTCAGTCTTCAGTGGACACTCCATTTCTGGCACAAAAAACCCTGTAAAAGTTGATTGTAGAGTAGATTTAGGAGGTGTTTTGGTGATCTGAAAACATCTGCATGTCAAACATAACAATGTATGTATGTCTTTAAAAAAAACGAATTAATCATACACTCAGTAACCCAAGAATTATTAATAATTATTATGGTAGTTAAACACAGTGAGAGTCATATATCATATCATGTCAAACAGGGGCGATCCAGTAATGCTGCACTAATTAATTAGACTAACTATTCACTTTAGCTAAAGTTATTAAGTTAGCTAAAGAGCTGGGTTGCTGTGTAAGACATAAATAAACCTAAAATACAATGGTTTCTACAGTCTTTTTGCACATTTCCCTACTGTAGGGGTCTCTGCAAGCATACGGGGCTCTGAGAGGGTACAAGATGGCAACTGTGGAATTCTACTGGAAACATTCAAACATATTTGTTTGTCAAAGATGAACCCAGGGCAAACTAAGCTAAATTAGCGTTTTTAGCTACCAGCATAACAGTTACTGTTAGGCTCTCGTTTGTTTACATGATGCTTTTTCTTATACAGGTAATACATTTATTACCAACCTGAGAGTTTATCTGCCTGTCATTTGACATGACGAATGACTTCTGAATAGTGTACTTAACCTGTGCCCCGCTCCAGCTCAAGATGCTGTAGGTCCGCTCAGTAACACTCCACAGGTACAACGTAGCTCTATTAACCAGCGCTCAATTACTAATCTGACTGAGTCAAAATCCATCCATCCATCTTCACCTGCTTTATCCGAGGCCGGGTCGCGGGGGCAGCAGCCTAAGCAAAGAGGCCCAGACCTCCCTCTCCCCGGCCACCTCCTCCAGCTTATCCGGGGGAA